CGTGAGGCAGGGTATCGTCCCCACAAAGCCTTGGCCTTGAGNCAATACGACGCACTCGCTAGATGNATCGAAAGCAGCTGTCGAGCAACGATAGAGGTGGCTACAGTGCTCGCATTGCCGAAGTGACGATGTCTCGCCGTTGGGNGCNNNTNGCGGTAAGCCAGCGCTTGGTGTTGGTTGGACCTGCCGGCACCGTTCTGCCCACTTTAGTCCGGCAAGCCCATCTTCTACCTTCTGGCCCTGCGCAAGAAATGAGGAACTGGCAGATGCACAATTCGACAAGCAGGCAGGCTGTCTGCGATTTGCGAGATTCCGATTTCCTTTCTAGCGCGCGAGATCACCCGCATATCCGGCCACCTATGGGCTATCCGAGATGATCCTTCTGCTGAGCCTGGACCAATCTAGTCTGATCAGATCCACCTTTCGACCGCAGCAGCACAGAACGCATGCCAGAGACTGGACTGGTTCAGTTGCGATTATTGACCGCCTCGCGACTTACTTACGCCTGATCTACCGGAGCGAAGAGGTCTCGACGCTCTTCATCGGCTGGTACCGTCGCGAAGCGAGGCTCATAGTCATCGTCGGCAAGTCCAGATGCTCAAGCGGCAGATCGAGCGAGCGTCGGAGACCGAAGCGCCGGTGAAGCAGCAGCAACGCGTCTCAGCCCGTCGTCGTCTCGTCTTGTCGAAGGCATGTCAAGAGCGGTAGTCAAGCGAGATCTGCGAGAGCATGTAAGCAGAGAATGCATGCATGTACAGATCAGCCACAGTCTAGAGGATCTGCTGCGTCGTCAAAANTGTCCAGAGTCGAACGGTATCGAGCTCTTGGCTGCGATGACGAGGTGAACGATGAACCGTCGCAGGTGCATCTATGACTACTGGACATCGTAACGTGGCTGTCTTGCTGGGCAGACAGGTCGACGGCCTGCCAAACAGGACTGAAGAGTTGGACAAGTCAAGGTTGAGCTTTTCGCGAAGAGGGCATCGATGCGCTCGTTTGGCAGAGCGTGGAGCCACACTGCTGTAGAGCCAGCGATGGAGAACTGTATGGGAGAATGTAGAGCGACTGCCGAGCTTTTACTAGGGGCACAGATGGGAAGTGGGCAAGGGCAAAATCCAGATGCGACACGTCAGGGCGCGAGTGACTTCACGCGCTCGGCCGACTCGTCACGGTACCACGCACTCACGCACAAGAAGCACGCACGAGCAACAGATCACGAGCATTCAGTAGTAGTCTTCCCAGCAAAGATGGTCTCTACCAATACCTTCACAAGCTCAGCAGGCAGCGCGAACCGCACCCGTACCACTACGACCCCTGGCGTTGCCTCG